AACCAGGATTTTACAAAACCCACATGCTTACTTAGGGGTTGATTGTCTCATGGTCCCTTTAGGAAAGACTACAGGATAGTGAGCTGGGAGAGTAAAGTGGCAACCACAAAGCAGGAGAGGGACCAGGTGTGGGAAGGTCAGGGAGGAAGCACCTCTGAGACAGACACACCCACAGGCACATCACTGAAGGACCTCCTGCATCACAACACTCACCTGCCTTTGTCTCCCCATCATTTCTAGTGGCAACTACAAAATGAGTACCTGAAACCTTGCCTACTGGGAGTAAGGCACTCAACAAAAGCTGGTCTACTGACTGACTAATGCTGCCTTTGCTCCCTGGCAACTGGCTAAGCTGGTATGATTTAAAAGACACCCAGATGGTTCTGAGCATCATGGGGGTCCAGGTACACTGGAAAAGATGTGAACGCTGAGTGCAATGCAGGCAGATTACTTCTTTTCCACAGAAAATTCCTGAAAGTCATACTGTCTGGCTTTTATATCCTAATGTGAAATCTACCCATCTGCTGGAGTCATGTTATTAGAAAAATTAATGAAAGGTATTTAGGGAGATGTTTGACCCGAAACTCAGTCCTTCACATGAGACAGGCTTTTCTGGGACTATTTTCTTTTGCCAATTGTCAGCAACTTCTGTGAAAAGTAAGCATGCAGCATAAGTGTCTAATAATGATCACTTGCAAAAGTGTTTTAAATGCTAATATTTAAGTTGCAACTCAGAGCGATCTCCGTGCTAAGGTGTAAAATGCCACTAGCAAGTGCCAATCATGCACCCTTGTTTCACAGACTTTAAGTGCTAGTCAGCCTGACCTTACAGTACTGTGCAATGAAGATTAACAACCACAATTTATGGGATGTGTCCAAAAATAATCAGATGTTTGCTTTATTTATTTATTTTATTGTGACTCATAGAGCTAGCAGTGTATAATGACTTTGATTGATTCCTTTTCCACAGATTCTTGCTTCAATGCATATCCTCACTAAGAACCTGATCAATCTACCTACTTCATAAATACTAACAGGGAGGGACAGGAACCCTAAGGTCAGTAAACAGGATCATGAGGAACGAGGAGACATGAATGAAATGGAATCCTAAGATGTAGCTGTCACTAAAGAATCTATCATTCCAACCAAACAACCTAGGGCAATTCAGTCCTGAACTTCCAGTGTGGTTGCCATGGTTTTTAGACAAAGAAGGCAGGGCTGCATTCCAATTATACCCTATTCAATGACAGACAGCTGAAAATAGGAAATGGGGTAATAAATCTTGGGTCATCCAGAAGAGATGTGCTAGGTACAAGTGACCCGGAAGCGAAAGTTTATGTTTGCCTGAGAAAACACCTTTGTAATTTAGAATGCAATTGTATAATCAACAGAGTCTTCAGATTTTCAAGAGCAATTTTGCTTATCAGCCAGCCCATTACTCAAGGACAGGTATCTCTCATCAGAAATTCTCTTAACATTTTAAATTTCAAGCATTCAAATCTTAAGACAGTATCAGGGAAAATGTCTTGAACTACAAAAAAATAAATCTATTCTTTTAAGTCTGGTAAAATAACCAATAGAGCAGTGCAGTGTCTTTATCAATACCATGATCAAATAGAGTGTTGTATCTTAAAATGATTTATTATGTATTCACTACAGGCTGGCTGGACTGCAATCGTCTAGGTAATGTTTTTGTTTTTGCTCCTATCTCACCATAGGAATTATGGGATTACAGATGGACATCACTTGCTGCTAGCTTTTTTTTTTTTTTTTTTTTTTTTTTAAATGTATTCCAGGGATTTATTTCAGGTCATCAACTGCATCTATGGTTGAACTCATTACACAGGGGCCAAGAGGCTGACAGTGAAGTTGAGAATGTGAATGGGTAAGGACTGGATGTGATCTTCATTAATTTTCTATTGTGGAGACAAAAACACCATGACCAAGGAAACGGACAAAGGGAAGCCTTTAATTTGGGGCTCACAGTTCCAGAGGGTTACAGTCCATGGCTATCACAGTGTGGAACATAGCAGCAGGCAGGCAGATATGGCTCTGGAACAGTAGCTGAAAGCTTACATTTAACACACAGGCACAAGGCAGAGAGCTAGCTGGGGAGGTCGTGGACTGACACAGTGTCTTCAATAAGGCCAGATTGCCAACAGCCCCAGAGAGGCTAGGGAACAAGGAGGGCCCAAAGTGGGATGTATCTGTTTGGGAAGGGGAAATAGAAGAGATCTCCTGGGTAGACTGGGGGCAAGTGGGGTTGGGAACATGAGGGATCAGGCTGGCCAGTGAATGGAGGGGCGAGTACTGTGACCCAGCTGCAGCACACTAGAGATCAGGCTCCGAAGCCCTGGGCAGCACACTAGAGCTCACCCTGTTGTCAGGGGTGCCGGTGAGCCGGCCCTGAGGGTGTGAGAACTGGAGAGCGGAGTCACCCTGCTCCCCCTTGTATGCCCCCAACAGTGGTCAGAAGACAGGGCCCTGCATCTCACCTGGGTTAAAGAGTAGAGCTGGCCCTGGTGGTGTGAGTATGGGCAAGCCAGATCTGAGGGCCTGAGAGCAGGAGAAATGGCCCTGCTTCTTGCTGCAGGCTGCACGGGGTGAGCGAGCCAAGGTAGTGCTGGAGACCTTGCCCAGTAGTGATGATGAGGGAAAGCTGGCAGGCTGACCAACCCAGCTACCACCCAGGCCCAGAATCACGCCTGAGTTAGCCCACAGCAACATTCACCACACAATGGAACACTGAAGTATGGGAAGGGGACAAACCTACAGATCCCAAACAGCAGGATCTCCATGACAAAGAACAACAACAGGATACCCAAGGTGAGCCCCAGTGAGAGCCCATCACTGTCAGTGGCATAGCAGGAGCCAGAGGCCTCCAGCAAGACCAGTGACAATGAAGACTTGCAAGTAAAGACTAAAGGGGATGCTGCCTGACCAACAGGCCACACTGCAGCTTCTGTGACAAACGACAAGAGTCTTCTTTTTTTCTTTTGTTTTTGTTTTGTGTGTGTGTATGTGTGTGTGTTTTAATTTTGTTTTGTTTGGGGGGAGGTTGAAAGGACAGAGGGCAGATGAGAAGGGACAGGAAGGTAAGTGGGATTGGAATGCATGATGTGAAATCCACAAAGCATCAATAAAAGTTAAAACAAAACAAAACAAGCAGACACCTGCCCCGCAATAAACACATAAACAAAAACCCTAAAGAAAACTAATCTAAAAAAACAAATCTGTCAGCTTCAGTTTCTTCATCTATACAAAGAAATAATATAACCCCTTTTACGCTTATATTTTAAAATCAGCTAATACAAAAATATTGAGTTTAGCATCAAAAATATTGAGTTTAGCATCTGGCTTGTAGCAGTAACAGTGTAGGCATGCTTCTGTGTAATTATTACTTCTGCAAGTCTACCACAACAAGCTGTAACCCACAGGGTTACCTAAAGGCACTGACAAACCCAACTGCAAAGGTAAGAAAAATATCTTAGATGCGAAATTATATGTCTCAGTGGGTAAGAATGCACCAGTTTAGCAAATGGTATTTAAAGGTGAGAGGGAATATTCTAGGTATCCCAAAGCCTGCAAGGACACCTCTGTTGCTTTTGAGGATATTTATTCTGTGACTCCTTGGGGAAAACGTATAGCATTCTTTTTGTTTGTTTGTTTGCTTTTGTTTTTTGAGACAGGGTTTCTGTGTAGCTTTGGAGCCTATCCTGGCACTTGCTCTGTAGACCAGGCTGGCCTCAAACTCACAAGTATAACATTCAATATCAATGTTATAGTCCTCAAACTCACTCTTTGTAAATTCTAAAAATTATAGCTGGATTCTTATGTTTAACTTTAGTTATACACAGGACACACTTTCTTTTTGCAACAGGTACTGGTTGGACTTTGTAGTGGAAGTGGACACCAAAGGCTGACTTAGGTAGGAGATTTCCATATGACAGTGTCACAAGAGTTGGCCTTTGCTTCTATACAAATGGTGATTAAGATGAAGAAAAAAAAAAGTTCTTTTCTTTGTAAGACTGATTTTCAAAATTATATAGGCAATTTGGAGTATGAATCCCCATGTAGTTTATTTTGCTTTGGCTCTTTTTCCTATGTTATAATTTGTCATTCCTATGCCATGAATTTGAAAGAGAATTATAAATACATATGCGTGTATGTGTATAGGATACATATACATGTATGCGATAAATCACAGATTTTTTTTTTTTGAGACAGGGTTTCTCTGTGGCTTTGGAGGCTGTCCAGGCTGGTCTCGAACTCACAGAGATCCACCTGCCTCTGCCTAGCGAGTGCTGGGATTAAAGGCGTGCGCCACCAATGCCCGGCAATCACAGAATTTTTTAAAATTGATCATTAAGGTAAGTAGAGAAGTAGGTCAGTCCAGATAAAATAAGTAAAAGACTTGCTTGTAGCTAACCTGCTCAAACCTGAAATCCTAAGCACTTTAGAGGCTGAGTCAGGAAGATTCCTATGAGTTTGAGGTTATAGAGTTTCAGTCTGGGTTATGTAGTTTCAGGACAGCTTGACAGCTAGACTCTGTCTCAAAATAAAATAAAAAAATAACATAAAAACTTACTCTTCAATTTGTCATTGATATTTTGAAATTCAATTTATCATTAGTTCCTGGAGTTTGGGAATAACTGGTTGAAAACACAATCAGTGTTTGAACATGAAAGGCAGAACTATTTCTGTCTCCCTCCTTCGGCTTTACTATTCTGGCCTTAAACTGTCAGCATTGCTAGACAAACGCCTTTGCCAGCGGAGCAGTAGTTGTAGGTAGGCAGAGTTGCTTGCTTAGAAATAGGAGTGTGAACAGTTTCTTTTTACATGTAGCATAGCTGGGTCTCATATCGGAAGGGAGTTGCTTCTCTTTCCTAAGTTCCCTCAGGAGGAATAGCTCCAGCATACAACACAGGTCATAAAGTGAAGTGACACATTCTGTCAGAATTGTCTGTACAAATGGCGTGAGGATGGTCTGGCTGCCTTACCTTAAAAGAGATTTCATACTGCTCTCCTCCCCATATCTCCAAGCCTGGGTCGTAACCACCCAATTCCCAAAACCACTTTCGATCCACTGCGAAGAGTCCTCCAGCCATAACAGGAGACCTGGAAGACACAACATAAAGAATACTTAAAGGACTGTGAACACTAAAGGCAGTAGTGTTTTGCTTTGAAATTCATGATCTGGTTTAGTGGTCAAGGTAAGTCATTTTTCAGCACAGTTATCTATAAGTAAATATAGAGTTCCTATTGGGTTTCCTGTTGAAGTAGATGTGGGAAGAGAATCTGTGTGAATATTCAGTTTTACAATCCAGGTTTTGATACAGCAAAGGTCCTTCGGAATCACACTTGGCCACCTGCTTATCTTCAGAGAGAAATACATTAATGTCAGTGACTGATATGTTGGGAAATATTACTCAGTTTTATGGCTTTTTCTTAAGTCAAACCTCAATCTCAAAAGATCAGATCTCAAAGTCAGATCTCAAAAGAGAGATCTTTTACCACTGGACGGAATGGTGGAGAAACTAATGTCTCACATATATTTAGTCACTGAGCGTCTGTCTGCTATATACAATTCATGTCCTACTTAGAGACTATGGAATAGAATATAAGATAAAGTAAGATTTTAAAACAAAATTTTAAAGGGAAGAAGAGGAAGGATGCAGAGGTCATGAGGGAGCAGAAAGGTTGAGTCAGGTGAAGAATAGAAGAAAGGATATGTGATAGGTAGGGTTTTAGTTGGGGGGGGTGGTAAGGGAGGAAGGGAGGGAGAAGGGAACTGGAATTGTCATGTAAATCAATCTTGTTTCTAATTCAAATAAAAATGATAAAAAACCCAAAATTTTGATTATGTGTATGTGTGTGTGTATCTATGTATGGCTATATGCACAAATCCTGGAGCCTGAGGCATCCAGAAGAGGGGGGTCAGATTCCATGGCACTTGGACTACAGGTGGTTGTCAGCCCTCTAACAGGATTCTGGGAATTGAACTCTGGTCCTCTGGAAGGGTAATAAGGGCTCTGAACTGATGACTTATCTTTCTGGCCTAAGGAGAAATATTTCTGAAGGTCTTGGCAAGACCGAAGATCTAGAAGAGTGATTTATCCATTCTCCCTAGGAAAGTGCACGGGACATATATAGAGTCTCACATAGCGTATACATTTTGTTAGAATTTTTAGAATCAGATGTCCCTCACTCTAGTCACCTCTCCAGCCAACTGTTCCCTTCTCCATTTTCTGCATGAAGCATTTCAAAGTGGAATTATAATTGTAGCTGGAACAAATCAACACTACAACATTTACTGGGTGTCATTTCCCAGTGAATGTGTGCTATAGTTGTAACCCTTACTTCTTTTGGGCTGGGTTATAAGTCATTGGCAGTTTTAAATTTTAGAGATACAGGGGAAAAGAAATTCTGAAATTAATTATTTAATTATAATCAGTTTTGTTGCAAGCACAATAATCTTGTTTTAACTGATCCTATCAAATCAAATGTGAACCGTATATTTTAAGTTAATCTGTCTATAAGTTACAGTCAAATGGTCCCATTGATTATTGACAGTATTGAAATTTGTGAAGGTAATTTTATATTTATTTGTTCTTGGCGTTCTATCATTTTTTATGCCATGTTTTTGTAGCCCTGTTAATAGTGCAGAAATATTTAGAACTTTCGTGCTTTTGATGAATTGCCTCATTATAACTAGGAAACGGCTTTTATTATTTCTGGTGATAATATTTGCTCTATCATCTATTCTCTGTCATTATTATAACCACCTTGAGTTCCTTGTGTTCTCCAACTCTAGTATTTATAGCCTTTTCTGTCTTTTAACATTTTAACCATTTGTACACTCCCACTTAATGTAGGTTTCTGAGCTGTCGATGTAGCTCAATAGGGAGAGTGGCAGTGTGGCACGCATGAAGCCTGCCGATGGCTCTCAGCACCATCTCTAATCATAGCTCTTTAGAGGAGGAGGCAGGAGGACCAGTTCATGGTCATCCTCAGCCATGTAATGAGTTTAAGTCAGCCTGGCTTACTTGAGACCCTCTCCTCTCTATCTCCCCAAAAAGCAGGTTTCTAACAAGTGGTACATATACACACCTTGTTTTCCAATTGGGTCATTTAGGTACTTAAAAAAAAAACAACAAAAAATGATTGATGTGGTTACATTTAAACCTATCACCTTCCACCTTTTCTGTTTGTCATAACTGTGTTTCTTTTCCTTTCATTTGTCTTCTTTTGACTAACTGAAGTTTTTGAAAGCAGCTTTTCATTTGTCTTTCTCCAGCTTTTTGTACTTTTTGTTATACATTTCCCTACATGCTATGTACCCCACATTGTAATACTCATATTCTGAAGTAATTATGCTTTGAATACATTTCAATAATAAAATTCCATAATAAACAGTATACATATACACAAACGACACATGAAATATATACTCATAAACCATCAGCACAGAAATAACAACTAGGAACACCACTTTTGTATTCTGATGGGTTTAAATAGTTCCAGAGAAAAATCTAGCATTGTGATTTGTCCTGAGTCTATGGATTGAACTTCAGGCCCAAAGGAGTTGATTCCAGGCAATGCTGCTCCGAAGCCAGAATAACTGAGGTAGGGACCTCCTGCTTTCTTAAATAGTGAACAGTTTACTGTGCTGTACCGTCCGTCTTCTTCCTCGGAAAATGAACAGGATCAAGTCAGCTATTTTCTGCATCTCCTTCTGCTCTGGATTTTATTTTAAGTAAAAGCTGGTCTCTCAGAACTCCCCATTGATCCCCAACCTGCCAATTTCCTGCCTGACTTCTTCTGAACCTCCTTTCAGTTTTGTTTGCTTGGGAATGTGAGCACACTGTAGGCATGGCTTGTAGCTCTGTGTCTGTGTGACACATGACTGCTGCTTACAAGCGCTGTTCACAAATCAGTCCTCCAGCTTTGCAATTAAAAACATTTGTCATCCCTGGGATGACTTCTAAAATTAAGGTGGTCATGAAGATTCTTCATTTTCAGGACTTTGAAATGTGTGACTTCTCTGCATACTTAATGGAAGTTAGTTTTCTATTTCATAGCTGTGCTATTGAGCCATGTAACAAATATGCATTCCGTATTTTTACGTATGGTTAAATAGCTTCCCATTTCTACAGCAATTTTTTTTATGCTGTAAATTTGGTTCACTTTTAAATTATTGAGGCTATCGTGTAAAAGTTTACTAGGACCATTCTTTATTTGGTAGCGGTGACAAACTGTGTTCTCATTTGCAGAATCACATTTCAAAATGGGTGGCTGACTTCCTCTTCTAAAGTAGGACATTTTCTGAATGCTGTCTTTCTAAGGAGTTGCCAAACTACCTACGATTCTCTATCTCATGGATTGATATTCCGAAAAAGTGGTACAGTTTTAATTGAAACATGCTTTCTCTAGAGTTTCAGATTTTAACACATGCCACATAACCTTTTGGATTAGAGAAATGAAAGCATACAAAATACTGAGATATTGATACACGAGAAAAATGTTTTAAAATACACTAACAATTAAAATTTAGGTTCAGCACTGTGAAGGAAATGTCAGTTTGGCCCCTTAGGAAATACACTGGCTCTCAGCTCTCTTTCATTTCAGTGGATACAGTGAAATTTCTGGACATGTGGGCTGCAATGTGAATTTGATCAGAAATGAAGTGACACACAGCTTCCCTCAGGACTCAGTCAAGCCAAGTCAATCAACAGAATGGCAGTCCATATGATTTTCAGTCACACAGCCAGACATTTATAGTCCGTCCATGACTCAGAACTCTTACAATTAAAAAAGTAATTATTATTTCAACAAGAATTCAGTTGTGGAGTGAATGATATTTAAAATGCAAAAAGGAGTTTTAAGTGATAAATTGTGTTTTAAATTAAGATTCTGAGAAGACTGTTTAAAATGATTTTGAGTAAACCTAACTTTTACAACGAAATAACATAGTCAAAGGAGGACAGAAGAACATTGTCACCCTTACATTATTCGAGGAGGTGATCACTCCAGGGGCAAAGAGGGAAATAGTCTGAGCTGAGAGAGAGAGAGAGAGAGAGAGAGAGAGAGAGAGAGAGAGATCTTTTAGAAAGTCAAGAGAGAAAAATGTAATGATGGTCTCAGAAATCTGTGGTTCACTGAACAGTTTCAATGGTTGCATCAAGAGAGAAGTAGCCTGGATATCATGGTAGGGGAAAGAACTGTGTAAGCAATGAAGTTGAAGGCTGGAAGCTTATGTCTGAAGTCAGCTGACCTGAGTATCCAGGCCATCCTCTTCTGCTCCCAGCCACCCCCCCAGCAAGTCCAGGCCCTTAGCATCATGATACTTCTTGCTTCTACTTCTAGGAGGTGCCAGATGGCCATTTTCACCAAACAACAAACAGATGTTCTTCTTCTTCTTCTTCTTCTTCTTCTTCTTCTTCTTCTTCTTCTTCTTCTTCTTCTTCTTCTTCTTCTTTTCCTTTCTGAGAGGCATTAATCATTTAGAATGACTAGGAATGATGGACAATCAGCACCAGTGGCCATAACTATGATGAGACCTTTGAGACTACCTTAGCTTATTTAAGCTCCACCCAAGCCAGAATATGACTAGTGTCACATGAATGACCACAGGCACAAATTGGTCAGTTCTCCTACTTGAATTACTACTGACTGGTCTCCCAGGAAGCTGAACTTTCTATGGTTGGACAAACAAATTAATTGCTAACCAAGTAGGAGTCAATCATGCTACTTAAGAGAAACCAACAGAGCAAATTGAATTGCATCTAATTTATGACCCATGGAGTTGTGGACCAACAAAACAGTGGCTTTAAGTCCCTGGTTTCTGGATGAGTTGTCATGCATGCAATAGAGAGCACAAGACAGAACTTACTTTGGGATTTCAGTTCTTAAGCAATGTATTAGCAGTTGTATTATGCAACCAGTGAGTGATAATATTCATTGCTAAAGACAATACTTTGATTAGCTGCTTCATTTCTAAAATACAAATGATACAGTCTTATTATTCTAATTTTCCTTATGTATTGACTGTGTGTGTGTTTTGTGTGGTGTGTGTGTGTGTGTGTGTGTGTGTGTGTGTGTGTGTGTACATGATGGTG